AGCCAGATTACTATTAAAGCTAACATAACTTTGATCAGACCATGTTTCTGAACAATTCATATGCCTAAACTGAACATTAGTTTCTCATGCTCATGCAACGCATAGCCTGTTTTTCTTTACACATTGTCTAATTTTTCATACATCCTTGACACTTCATGATTTTAAATTCCTATGGCTTTACTAGTGTATAGGAAATGTTTTCTTTTTTTTTTTTTCAGAAATGTTTTCAACTGTATAATAGGACTTGTGAAAATGGAGAGAATGGTAAATGTAAGACGAAGTGTAGACACTAAAATCTTAGACTCCAACCCTTATAACATATGGCCTTCTTCTAAGGAATGTAGGTTCCCGTCTTAGTCTGTTTTGTGTTGCTATAAAGGAATACCTAAGGCTGAGTAATTTATAAAGAAAAAAGGTTTATTTGGCTAATGATTCTGAATGGTTGGAAAGTTCACAATGGGCATCTGCATCTGGTGAGGGTCTCAGCCTGCTTCTACTCATGGTGGAAGGCGAAGGAGAAGTGGAGCATGCAGAGATTACATGGCAAGAGAGTTAGCAAGAGACAGAGGAGGGAGGTCCAGGATTGCTTCTAACAATCAGCTCTAGAAGAACTCAGTCACCCCTGAGGGAGGGCATCCATCTATTCATGAGGATCTGGCCGTGCAACCTAAACACCTCCCATTAAGCCCCACTCCGACATTGGTGATCAAATTTCACCAGACTTGGTGGTGCTCACCAAGCTACTCCGAAGGCTGAGGTGGGAGGATCGCTTGAACCCAGGGGTTCAAACTATAGTGAGCCATGATCACACCACAGCACTCCAGCCTGGGTAACAGAGCAAGGCCCTATTTTATTAAAAAAAAAAAAAAAAAGAAAGATGAAACAAATTTCAACTTGAGGTTTGGAAAAGATAAACATCTAAATCAGAGTAGTTCCTGACCTGAAGCTATTATCATATTATTGATGTATATCATGTAGAAATATGTCATTAACAACCAATACGCTGGGTGTGGTGGCTCACGCCTGTAATCCAAGCGCTTTGGAAGCCAAGGAGGGTGGATCACCTGAGGTCGGGAGTTCAAGACCAGCCTGACCAACATGGTGAAGCCCCATCTTTAAAAAAACAAAAACAAAAACAAAAACTAACCAATACGTGGGTCTAGAAAACTTGACCCAAAAGTGGCCAAAGCAAGTGCTTTGAAACCAAAGCGGCAAGAAAAAAAAAAAAAAATCAAACTTACTGGTTTTCTTAGTACATAAGTCTTGAATAATGCACTATAGAGATCCTGTCTTATTGATACAGCTAGAGACAATAAAAAGTTTTATCACATAAATAAATTTTGCCTTTTTTTTTTTTTTTTTTGAGACAGGGTGTTGCTCTGTCACCCAGGTTAGGGTGCAAGGGCTCAATCTCAACTCGCCGCAACCTCCACCTTCTAAGTTCAAGCGATTCTCCTCCCTCAGCCTCCCGAGTAGGTGGGACTACAGGCATACACCACCATGCCTGGCTAATTTTTGTATTTTTAATAGAGACAGGGTTTCACCATATTGGCCAGGCTGGTCTCAAACTCTTGACCTCGTGATCCTCCTGCCTCAGACTCCCAAAGTGCTGGGATTACAGGCGTGAGCCATTGAGCCCAGCCAATTTTGTCTTAATATGAGTTTTATTTATATTTATGTTTTTTTTTTTAACATTTCAAAAACACTATGTCATTCAATTGACTGACTTATAATTATTGAGTTACCTGGTCATTGTATTATCATTGTCAGTTATTATATTTCACATGCATTTACTAAGGCATGCTTTCTCAGGCATATTGATATATAGTTAATGGTGTAATTGATAAACAAGCAGTTTCTCAAGAATATTGTCTGTTTGTTCAAAAATTACCACTGTAAAATTAAATCCTTTCATGCTATTTTGAAAATACTTAGGCTGATATAAATGAAAAAACTCTGAAACTCAAATGAAGTCTGGAGTTAATAGTAATGTAACAATGTTGGGATCTTAGTTTCCACAAATGTATCAATTTTACTTTAAGATCTTCAAGATGCTAAGCACCCCTACAACAATTAGGAGACACCGGATAGAAACAGTTTATTACTGTCTGGGTGCAGCGGCTCAGGCTTGTAATCCCAGCACTTTGAAAGGCTGAGGAAGGTGGATCACCTGAGGTCAGGAGTTAGAGACCAGTCTGACCAACATAATGAAACCCTGTCTCTACTAAAAATACAAAATTAGCTGGGCATGGTGGTGGGTGCCTGTATTCCCAGTTACTTGAGAGGTTGAGGCAGGAGAATTGCTTGAACCTGGGAGGCGGAGGTTTTGGTGAGCAGAGATTGTGCCATTGCACTCAAGCCTGGGCAACAAAGCAAAACTCTGTCTCCAAAAAAAAAAGAAAAGAAAAGAAACAGTTTATTACTTATAGGTCCTGGGATACGTGGCACACTTGTAGGCCAGATTCATGGAAATCAGGGAGTGCTGGCAGAACAAGAGAGGGACTCATGTGCCAACAACTTTATTGGGTCCAGGGTGTTACCCAAACAGGTTTCCCAAGCAGGCATGAGTTCAAGGAGGCCACCCAGAGACTTAATGATGGTCCCTGTGGCATATCTGCACATTCTATGTGGGGTGTGAGGGTCAGTGTGGCCAGTAGGTTGTACCTAGCTGTGCCACAGGGAAGTGGTCAACAGGAGGTAGTTGTATGAGGCAGATATCTGGATCCACCACATAAAGGAACTGGGAGAAGGTGGACAACTGACAATTTTGTCCAGGGTGATTGAGCCTTGATTTTGGTACGGGAAAGTCCAATGAATATTCAAAATGGATGTGGAGGCAACCAAACATTGTAAGAATTCAGAACACTACCATGGTAATTTGTTACCATTAGGGGAAACTGTGTTAGGGGCATATGGTAACTGCTTGTATTACCCAACTTCTCTGTGAATCTAAAGTTATTCCAAAGTAAAAAAAAAAAAAAAAAGTTATTAAAATAACTTATTTTAAATAAAAGTTTAGTAACAAAAATAAATAAAAATAAAAATAATAAAAATAAAAGTTTAGTGACACCAAAATCCCTGCTTTAAAATATATGTGAGCTAGCAGAGTACATTTCTAACTTATATGTTATGTATGCTGTTAACTATGAGAAGATATTCTTAATAATACTAAGATCTCCCCTAAAATCATGTTTTTCTAATTTCTTTTAAAAATACTAATACAAAACTGCTTATTGGTAATCTCATCAGCTGTTATTCTAATTTTAGATTGAATTAGATCTAAAGTTGAATTATTCTAAGTTGCTTTTCCAGATTCATCTAATAAAAGAAAGATGGGATCTGACACGAACAGTGTATAAATTAGTACAAGAAAGTCTCTTTTCTGGATCAAATCTTGGTCCTATAGTTTAGGATTTTATGTATTTATGTATTTATTTTGAGACAGGGTCTTGCTCTGTTGCCCAGGCTGGAGGGCAGTGGCGCTATATCTCGGCTCACTGCAACTTCTTCGTCCCTGGTTCAAGTGCTTCTGGTGCCTCAGCTTCCTGAGTAGCTGGGACTACAGGTGCATGCCCCACACCCAGCTAAATTTTTTTTTTGTTTTTTTGGTTTTTTTTTTTGTATTTTTAGAAGACAGGGTTTCGTTATGTTGGCCAGGCTGGTCTCTAACTCCTGGCCTCAAGTAATCTGCCAACCTTAGCCTCCCAAAGTGCTGGGGTGGTTAACAGCCATCATGCCCAGCCTCGTTTAGGATTAAAGAATGGTTCTATGCCTTAGCCAAAGATAGAAAATTGTCATAATTATTTTATTACAATTTATGTAATTATTTTATGTCTTTCAGAAACATTTTACCTCTGTCACATCTCACATTATAATGGAAAAAAAAATCCCTTATGTTCTAACAAATTAAAAGTTGCATCTCATTGTGAAGTCAAAAGAGAAGCAAGTAACAAGTGAATTGGGATCATGGAAACCAAACCAGAATAAAGTAAGCCCAGCACAACACTATCTTGGAGGCTTACCAGTTAGAAGGTCTTAAACATAATGTATTTTAAACAAACAATAAAAGAAGAAAAGATTAACCTGGAAGCCTCAGATCATTAAGATTCAGTCAGACAGGCATTCCTTTAAAAAAGAAATAGAAATTCCATTTGACCCAGCAATCCCATTACTGGGTATAGGGGAGGGACAGCGCGGGGTGGGGAGGTTGAGGAAAGGTAACATGGGAAGAAATGCCATATATAGGTGTCGGGGGGATGGAGGCAGCAAACCACATTGACATGTATGTACCTATGCAACAATCCTGCATGACCTGCACATGTACCCCAAAACCTAAAGTACAATTAAAAAAAAAAAGTGTTTACTGAGTACCTTCTCTGTGTCAGTCACTATTTGGGTTATAAAGGACTCACTTCTCAACAAAAACAAACCCTGATCCCCTGGTCTCCTGGAGTCATGGAGCTTACACACCAGTGGGAAAAACAGACTCAAATTGAGAACTAGTGCAAAGAATGACTGCGAAATAAAGAAGCTTTAAGTGGGGGATCAATTTCTTCCCGCCCCTCTGCGCTCAGCCCAGGCAGCGGTGCGCGCCTCTGTGCCCTGGGCGGAGCCAACAGCCCACGGTCGGCGCCGCAGTTTCTTCCCTTAGCGCAAATGTATCCAGCCGGTCTTTTTACAAGGGTCCCGTGGATGATAATCATGCTCTGTTAACCTCATTTGTTGTCAGGGAAAAATAAAACTATTTTATTTTTAAATAAATAAAAGTGTCAGAAGGAGTCTCGGTGCCTGCTAGTTTCGTTGTTTGTTAGCATAACTTCCTTTACAGACAGTATGGCTTCATTTTTGTAAAAATGCTGCATAAATGTAGCTAAGTCTGTTACCCATTGCAGTGCCTGCGTGACTTCGCTGGACCCCCCCACCTTGCTTTTGTTGCCCAATGCGATAGCATAGGTGACAGGGCTAAATTCCTCCTCAGCTTTAACTCTGCTTCCTTTCAGGAAACAGAATGCCTGTGTTCAGAAGTTCCTTCTTAGGAAGAAACCAGCTGAAGCTGGCGAAATCCAAGATGGCACCCCTCACGAATCTCCAGCTTCATTATCATCCTATTTTCATGTTAAGTGACACTCCCACCAGCGCCATGGTAATTGACAGTCACCATGACAACGACTGGAAGAGACCAAGAAGGGACAGAAAAAAAGGGGTTCCTTGATTCCAGGAAAATCTCCGTCCTTTCCCAAGAGAAGCATAAATATTCCCGCATCTGCTCGTAATGCCTGTCCCCTTCATTAAAGAAAGTTTCGTCTGCAGCTTCCCAGCTCTCACAAGCTGAGCTGATTGCAGATCTTGCAATTCCATAGCCGTTGAATGAAGCCTGCACTGCTTGACACTCACTTTCGGTTGCGTGGATTGGCCTCGCCACACAGCAGGAAAGAACCCCTTCTGGGATAACCAGGACTCCCGGTAATATTTCCATATATACACGTCCTTAATGTATGTAAGGACGCCTGGGGGAGAAAGGAGAAGTATAATCCATTCTTTTTTTTTTTTTTTTTTTTTTTTGGGACGGAGTTTCGCTCTTGTTACCCAGGCTGGAGTGCAATGGCGCGATCTCGGCTCACCACAACCTCCGCCTCCTGGGTTCAGGCAATTCTCCTGCCTCAGCCTCCTGAGTAGCTGGGATTACAGGCACGCGCCACCATGCCCAGCTAAAAATCCATTCTTTACTTTCTGGAATTTTGGATTGCTTGAGTTCGTTACAAGGACACATGCTACATTTACAACGTTTTTAAACTAAAGTGTATGTATTATAGAACAGTCCTCTGGGCTGAGCTTGGATTTAGTGGAGAGGCTTACATTTGTAGAATTAAAAACAGCATCGAAACATTCTGTTGCAAGAGGCCCTGAGAGCCTTCTCGCCCCAGCCCGGTCACCCGGGGGCCTCAGCCTCATCCCCCAGAGCCCCACCCTGAGAGCCCCCGGACCCCTTCCCGTCTTGGCGAGCCCGGTGGCGCAAGCGCTCCGCCGCCAGGGAGCAGTGCGGCGCCCACTGTGGGCTGTTTGCTCGGCAGAGGGCACCCGGGCGCACTCGGCTGCAGCGGGCTGTGCGCAGAGGGGCAGGCTCTTGCCAGGCAGCAGATGCTTCGTGCACAGCTGAGAGGAAGGAACACTCCCGGGAGTGGGCGGCGGCCGAGGGACCCTGGAACCGTCCTCCCTGGAGGAGCCCCCTCCGCAGCTCCCGCAGCCCCCTCGTCCCGGGAGGACCGGGGATAGGGGTTGACCCGGAGTCCCCTACTCCACGCAGGAAGTAGCTTCTTGGCAGGACCGGCCGTGCCTGTTGCTTTCAGTAGCCTCGAGCCGCTTTTTTCTGGGTGTACCTCAGCTCACATACCCGAGGCAAGCCCTTCCCGGCTCATCTCCCCACCCTTCCCTGGATCCGTGCCTTGCTCTCGGTGACTCATCCCACGCTGTGCCTTGCGACACACCCTGTCGCTTTCTCTGACCATCTGGGAGCGCGGCGCCATCTCCCTCGAGCCCCGCCTCCCCTACAGTGCTCTGTGCTGTGATCGTAGGTTCTTCTCCCTCCAACAACGGTCTGGGAGGCACGGGAGAGCTCCCTGGCTCTTCGCCCTTCCCAGGCCACCAGGAGACAGCAGCCTCCGCCTTCATTTCCCCTGGTCATTTCAGACCCATGTATGGAAGATTTGAGCATCTGACTCAGCTTCCCCAACATCCATCCCTCCACTAGCATCCGCTCACGCCTTTGCAGCTTTCAGTGTCCTGGAGAGGACTGACCCATCTGACCCATCAGCTCCTACCCCGCCCAATTTGAAGGCCACTGCCGCTCAACCATGGTCACCCACTCCTGCCCCATCTGGAGCCCCAAACTGCTCAGTTCCTTCTCTAAAACTCTCCCGTTTTGTTTGTTGTTAAGAACTCTCAGCCAGGCCCGGTGGCTCAGGCCTGTAATCCTAGCACTTTGGGAGGGCAAGTTGGGCAGATCACAAGGTTGGGAGTTCCAGACCAGCCTGACCAACAAGGTGAATCCCCGTCTCTACTAAAAATACAAACAGTAGCCAGGCGTGGTGACATGTGACTGTAATCTCAGCTACTTGGGAGGCTGAAGCAGGAGAATTGCTTGAACCTGGGAGTCAGAGGATGCAGCGAGCCGAGCCACTGCACTCCAGCCTGAGCAACAGAGTGAGACCCTGTCTCAAAAATAAATAAATAAATAATAAACAAACAAACAAATAAATAAATAAATATCTCTCTTCCCTGGCTCTTTGCACACCTCTTTGACCTCTCCTTGTCTTTTTCTGGTTCTTTTCTCTCTACTCTCCCTTATACACTGGCCTTCCTGGGGTCCCTGCAAAACCCCACCACACCCATGACTTCAGCTATATCCATTTCACCTCACGTTAACACCTGATGCCTAAACCTCTCCACACCATGCCAAAAACAGAATTCATTTTCCCCTCTAAATTTGCTCACTTTCCTGTTTTCCCAATCTTTTTTATTGTCACAGCCATTCCCCCGCTGGTCCAAGTTAGTGAGAGTCATGCTAGACTCCTCCTTCCTTACCTACCCATCCCCTAATCCCCAAGCCCT